GATGTCGTCAATTTACTGGGCGGACAACGACGTCGGTGGAAATTCGGCGGCGGGGCCAGGCAGTGGCGCGACAGGCAAATGAACTACGGTAATTAATGCACAAATGGAGATATTATGCTGCTTTCTGATAAAGCGTCGGCTTAACTATTAAATTTCCCATTCGTTATACCCATTTTATAGACAAATTAAACTCTTCGATTTTATCGCATATATTTTCAAAGTAAAAAACAAACCTGTCAAAAATTAGTTGAAAATTAAGTCCATTTCATTCTACTGGGAGACCGAGACGCGACACTACCCACAACCAGCGTCATACTTTTTTAGCAGGCCTTACATTTCCCATTAAAAAAATTGGTCAAAGGTTATTTCAACAAAACTTCCCCCGCCCCTGAACTAGAGCCCAACAAATCCCACTTCTTTGAAAAATTCTGCGATTTTTGTTTTCTGATAGCCTCTATAAAGTAAAAACCGGTGGCGTAAATATCTCTCGCAGTTTTTTTGACTGCATTTTTTCAGTTCATTTTTTTTTATTCTTTGGTTTTTCGATTTGCAATTTTTCGATTTCTGAAGTTTCAATTTTTCAATTTTCGTTTCGGTTTTTTCTTCATTTTTTTCAATTATTCGATTTTTCAATGTATTAATCTTATAATTTTTTGTTTTTCCAATTTTTTTTTGTTTCTTCAATTTTTTAATTTGCGAGTTTTCAATTTTTCATTTTTTTTTGTTTTATCAATTTTTCATTTTTTCATTTTTCGACTGTAATTTTCCTTTTCATCAAACTTTCGATTTGCCACGATTCGTTTCTGTTTTCTATTCTGATTTTATAATTTTTTGCATTTCTAATTCTAATTTTTTCAGTTTTTCCGATCAGCAATTTTTCAATTTTTCATTTTTCTGTTCATTTAGTTTTTCAATTTTCCAAGTTTTGAATTGTCCAATTTTTCGTTTCTTCAATTTTTTAATTTGCGAGTTTTCAATTTTTCATTTTTTTTGTTTCTTCAATTTTTCATTTTTTAATTTTTCGACTGTGTGAATTTCATTTTAATCAAACTTTCGATTTGCCAAGATTCGTTTCGGTTTATTATTTTCTTCGTTTTTACAAATTTTCGATTTTTCAATATTCCAAGTTTATAATTTTTTTGTTTTTCTAATTCTAATTTTTTCAGTTTTTCGTTTCTTCAATTTTTCAGATCAGCAATTTTTCAATTTTTCATTTTTTTATTCGTTTAGTTTTTCGATTTGCAATTTTCGGGCTATTCAAATTTAAATTTTCCATTTTTTCAATTTTCCAACTTCTGAATTTTTCAATTTTTCGATTTGAGTTTCTCGAGTTTTCAATTTTTCGATTTGAAATTTTTCGTGTCGGTTTTTTCTTTATTTTTTCAATTATTCGATTTTTCAATGTTTTGATTTAATGATTTTTTGCTTTTACAATTTTTAGTTCCTTCAATTTTTTGATTTGTTTTTTTTTTCAATTTTTAATTTTTTTGTTTCTTTAATATTGAATTTTTAAATTTTTGACTGTAATTCTTTTTTTCATGAAATTTTCGATTTGCCATGATTCGTTTCTATTTTTCAATGTACCGATTATAACTTTTTGTTTTTCTAATTCTAGTTTTTTCAATTTTTCGTTTCTACAATTTTTCCGATTAGCAATTTTCCATTTTTTTGGTTTGTTCAATTTTACAAAATGCAACTTTTCGAGTTTCCATTTTTTGATTTTGCTATATTTCGATTTGCAATTTCAGGAGTTTTCAATTTTACGATTTTCAAATTTTTCACGTCTTCAATTTTTCGTTTCGGTTTTTTATTTTTTTTATTTTTACAAATTTTCGATTTTTCAATGTTCCGATTGTATACCTTTTTGCTTTTTCAATTTAAATTTTTTTTCCAAGTTTTCAATTTGCAATTTTGCAATTTTTCAATTTTTATTTTTTCGATTTTCAAATTTGGATGTTTCAATTTTTATATTTGGCGATTCATTTCACGAGTTTTCAATTTTTTGATTTTTCAATATTTTATTTCTTCAATATTTCGTTGTGTTTTTCGAAAAATTGCAAAAATTTTTATTTTCAACATTTACATTTTTTAATTTCTCATTTTTTAAATTTAAGATTTTTCAATTTTTGGTTTCTACAATTTTTGATTTGCAATTTTTCTAATTTTCCGATATCTAATTTTACACTTTTTCGGTATTAGATGATACAGTTTTTCGACTTCTATAATTTTTCGGTTTCACAGTATTTGGTTTTCCAATTTTTCGATTCGATTCCTTTTTTCTTCTTTCCAAGTTTTCGATCCATTAATTTTTTTCGATTTTTCATTCTCCATTTTTAGTTTTTCAATATTTTAATTTTTTGATTTTGCAATTTTTCCTGTTTTCAATTTGTTGATTTTTAAATTTTTTCCGATTTTTTACTTTTTCTATTTTTCAATTTGTTTCTTCAGTCTTTGCTGTACAATGTTTCTAGTTTTCATGGTAAAAAATATTTATTATTTTAATAAAAATTATAGTATTTAAATTTTTCAATTTTTTCAGTTTTACGATTTGAGAATTTTTGCATCTTGAAATTATTTCATTTTAAAACTTTTTCAATTATTCGATGTTTCAATTTTTTTATTTTTAATTGTTCAATTTCTCAATTTTTAATTTTTCCATTATTCGATCTTTCGATGTTACAATTTTTCGACTTTATAATTTTGACGAATCTTTAATCTTTCGGTTTTACATTTTTTGCATTTTCCAGTTTTTGAATTCAATTCGTTTTTTATTCTTTCCCATTTTTCGATGAATTAATTTTTTCCAATTTTTAAGTTTCTAGATTTTTTAGTTTTTCAATGTTTCGATTTTTCGTTTCTTCAATTCTTCGATTTGCAATTTTTCGATTTTCTACTTTTTCGATTTCGCAATATTTAATTTTTTTAGTTTTTCGATTTTTCAATTTTTTCCGATTTTGGTTTTTGCTGTTGTAAATGGTTTTTTAATGCTTGTAATGTTTATTAACGGTTAATATAAAAAGAAAAACAAAATTGAAAAACCAAAAATGAAAGAAGTTTAAAATGAAGTCAAGAACTTGAAAAACTGAAGAAACGAAAAATTCAAAAATCGAAAGTTTAAAAACTGAGAAACTTAAAAATCCAAAAATCCTACGAATGAAAATCCAAAAGTTGCAAAACTGAAAAAATTTTAAAATGATAAATCGAAGAATAGAAAAATCAAAAATTGAAAATTAGAAAAAGTGAATAAACGAAACATTGTAAAATTGAAAGAAATACTGAAAAATAAAGAAAACGAAAATACGAAAAACTGTGATATCAAATCGGAAAACGAAAAATAAAATTCAGCTTGAAAAATTGAAATTTAAAAATCGGGAAAATGAAACTTCAAAATCGAAAAATTTAAAACTGAGAAACTGAAAATTTGAAAAACGTAAAATTGCAATATCGAAAAATTACAAAAATTGAAAAATTTGGAAGTCGAGAAATTGAATTAAAAAAATTAAAGTTGAAAGAACGAAAAACTATGGACCTGAAACAGCGAAAAATGGAAAAATTGAAAAATGAAAGAAAATGAAAACACGAAACATTTTTATATCAAAAAATTGTAACATCGAAGATAAAGGGAAAACAAAAAATTATGTTATCAAAAAATTAACAGAAGGACAAGTAGTACATTAATTTGGATAGATGTAGCGTTAATACTAATAATAACAGTACTGTATTCCCAAATTTTCGGCAAAATGGAGCGAGTCGTTCTTGATTTAATCTAATCCATACAATAAATCACCTGTCATAAATTATTTTTGAGTCACCCTGTATACGCCATTCTAAAAATTATGAGTGCATTGACAAACCACAAGTATACAGTCGTAATACTTTGCATATTTCAGAGAGGATTTATTAGACAAAATTTTGAAATGACGTCATCAATTTTTTGGAAAGAGCAAAACAATACATTTTTGAATAACGATTTACCACGATTACAATAACCTTAAAACGTTTACAAGATTTCAAAACATTCGGTTTTGCAGTTTCAAAGTTGCAAAATGTTGTTATACAATTCTGATTTTTTTTTCCAAAAATCTGGACCTTTAGGGTGAAACTTAACAGGGATTCATACATCATAAGTGCAGAAGTATCTTATTTTCTATAATTAAAAAAAAATAGTTATTGTAAATTTTCCAAAAATTCATCTACATATACTTACAAGATTTGACAACAATCGATCCAGTAGTTTGGGAGATAATGTGTTTAATAAAAACTGATACTGACAACAGACAGACATACAGACAGACAGACAGACAGACGGAATCGGGAGACCACTTATTTCGTACTTTAAGAGGCCAAGAAACGTCGAGAAAACATGAAAATGGCAAGTCATACGGTGAACAACCCCAGCGCGATTTGCGATACGCCACTGCCGAAACGGCACCCGTGGGAGTGCGATTGGGGTTTTTGTTTTGTGGATAATAGGGCGTACGTAACGCGTTCCGGTCGATGGGTCCTAATAAGCGCCCTTTGATAATTCAGTGAGGACCGAAACGTTCCCACGGGGCAGACACGCGTCCAGCATACGGCGGCCGGATCATTTAGGGAGTCTACCTTGCATAAAGTCAATTTGAGGGTGTTTCCGGTCGCGGAAATGGGAAGCTGTGATTCGATAAAAACGACTGATCGAAACATTATTTTTATAGTTGGAAACTGCCAGGACACACAAATTTCCAGCCGGAACGTCTAGGACGAGGCTCGGATTTCACAAGAGGTTGGTTTATTGTTGGGTGGTTGAGTTGATCAGTGGACAGAGGATTATCCCGCAATCAAAAGGTTTGAATGTGGTCACCCAAATTAATCCTTTATGTGTATAGGGTGTTCCACCTAAGACGGATTTTTTTACAACAAGCCGTGACGTTGCTTAATTAAAAAACATTCTTTTCAGCTGTCATCTTGTAGTCTAATAATAATAATAGTAATTTTAATTTCGAAACGTCTACTAAGCATACCTGAGCTTTTGCCAGCTGGAACCACGTCTTCAAAATGATGGGCAGTCTTTGACGGTGGTAGCTCTTGGTGGTTTTGACGCTGATGAAGACGTCGTGGAGGACGGTGGTGGGCGGCCGCAGAGTGGCCGTCGCCGAAGAGGCTTCACTGGTGACGGCGACCGAAGGGTCTTCGTGCAAGCTCCGGTCGAAGGGGGCCCTTCGGCGTGCCACCTTCTCAGTAAGAACATCCTGCAAACAATGGTCATAAATTTTAATTGCTTGTCGGAATTTAAACAAAAATGTATTTCTTGTCGCTGCACTTCATCATGGTTTAATATAAACAGTACAAGCTATAAATTTATACCTCATGAATAACAGATGTTACGTGGAAGAAAACAAAGCCGAGAGAAGACGGTGTAAATTTTAAAAAATTTTGGTATTTGGACAGTTTCCAGTCGACTGGTCTTCGTGATTTTTGTTGACAGTGGCAACAAATCTGTGATCTATCGGCGGGATCATGTTAAATGGTCGACAAACAATACGTCTGGTCGACGTGAAAACGGATCGAACGGTACAGTGAGGATAAAAACTGCTCGTTCACTTTCGATGTTTCTTGTTGGAATTGTATACAAACAAAGCCAGTGACGGCGATGCAGATTTGGTACAAACTTGTTTTACGGAAAGTAAAAAATATTTATTACGGTTGTTAACGACAGGTAGAGAAAGTCCCAACGTGAGTTATTGTATACGAAAAATACAGAAAGTCGTTTCTTAAAGTAGTTTTTTCTGATGTCGTTAATTGTGCTGTTTACGTATTCCTTGCGGTATAAATCAGTTCTACTGTATTTTATTGTTAAAATGCAGTTTCTCGTAAGATTGTGTGTGAGTGTGTGTCTTGTTCGCGAAATTCTCAGATGATTTATTAACTCGGCTGGCGCCTCGGTTAAAGGGGGCGTCTAGTAGACCATAGCTGCCATGTGCCAAACGTCTCCGAAAGGTGTTTTCACATCCTGTTCCATATGTAAATTTAAATTTACAAATTACTCCATTAAAAGAATCAGGCATTTAGCAGTCATCAAAATTAATTCCATTTTATTTTGGTTGTTTTTTTAACACTGTTTAATTATATTCTATTCTTTGACTTAATTTTTAGTTATTACAGAGGATATTAAACAATTTACAAAACAAACTTAGTTCTCGTAGGCTAAGGTAATATTGTATGTAATATGATGACGTTCTATGACACCTAGAGTACGAAAAAGTAGGTCCTACTTCCGTCTATCTGTCTGTCTGTCGTCTGTGTCAATTTTTATTACACAGAAATCTCGGAATCTATTGTTAAATTGTATATGTATTTTATTTTATATTTGTAAATTAACTTCCACTTGCCTTATTGTTCAAATTGCATCTTAGTAACGTCAATCAGATTGATTATATTTACCAATGTTGCAAAGTTGCATGTGCAAGCATATTTCTGGTTATAGTCTTTGCCATTTCTATTGAAACACCACTTGTTAATCGTAAATTTGGCAACGTTCATATTCAGAGAATTTTCTAACTAAAAGCCGTTGTCAATCAACCGAAAGCTGTTACCAACTGCTAAATTTTAAGCAAAATCAACACGTGGTGTTTCAATAAAAATGGCAAAGACAATATGTTAAAACGTTTGTAAGATTTCAGAGCATTTAGTTTTTCAATTTCAAAGTTAAATCGTACACTTTTGATTTTTTTTTTCAAAAATCTTAGCATTTTATAAGATAAGACTGAATTTGGCACTTTTGACATTTTCGACCATTTTTCAATCAGAAGTCATTTTCGACTTTTCGTCGAAAATTTCTGCCGTTTTTCCAAAATCGCCAATTGAAATACAGCTATTTTTAAAGCTCCGTCAAAATCCCTCGGTATAAAAGTTTTGTACGACATAACCTCTAAAGAAATAGAGTGGGTGGGCGGGGCTAGTATTTGATAAGTTAAGACAAGACGGATTTTTGACATTTTTGATCATTTTTCAACTATTGTCGAAAATTTGTTGAAGACAATTTCTTGTAGATTTCAATATCCAGAAGTCATTTTCGGCTTCGTTTCTTTAGAAATTCCTACCGTTTTTCCAAAATCGCTAATTGAAATATAGGAATTTTTACAGTTTTGTTTGAGACAATAGAGAAGTCAGGACAGGTCAGGTCACGTTGGGTCAAGTCAGATCAGGTGCATGAAATAAATGAATTTTATAGCAAATAGTATATCAAAAAAATGTTACGATTAAGTAACGCTTTTTTTTACTTTTTTCACATCCTAGATTCTATTCTGGATTAGTTTCCACTCCCATTGCACAAAAGAACATATGTAATTAGCCCCGCCCACACACCCTGTCTCCTTTTCAATGATTGATTTTATCCCATCTGAATGAAATGAATGATCTTATACTGAACAGAAATAAAGTTAGTCGTTAGAATGAGAAGAGGGGTGGGTGGGCGGGGCTAGTAGTTAGTAATATAAGACTGATTTTTGACATTTTCGACCATTTTTCAACCAGAAGTCATTTTCAGGTTTTCTTCTTCTAAAATTCCGACCGTTTTTCCAAAATCGCCAATTGAAATACAGAAATTTTTAAAGCTCCGTCAAAATCCCTCGGTATAAAATTGTTATATGACATACCCTCTAAAAAAATAGAGGGTGGGGGGCGGGGCTAGTATTTGATAAGTTAAGATTGATTTTGGCATTTTTGTTATTTTTGATCATTTTTCGACTATTTTCGAAAATTAGTTGAAGATATTTTCTTGTACATTTCGATATCCAGAAGTCATTTTCGGCTTCTTTTCATCGGAAATTCCTATCGTTTTTCCAAAATCGCTAATTGAAATATAGCAATTTTTAAAGTTTCCTCGAAATAAACTCGATAAAAATTTTCTAGATGAAAAAGGAAATTATTAATTTTTGTTTCACAAAATACAATTATTTCAAGAATGAACTTTGTAGTTTTCATATATTTACAGAAATGTTTAAAAACATTTTTTTGAGACAATAGAGACGTTAGAGCATGAAATAACAAATAAATTTTATAGCATATCTCGTAGTAAGTATATCAATAAAAGCTGCGATTAAGTTTTTTTTTTTTTACTTTTCATATCCTAGATTAAATTATGTATTAGTTTCCACTCCCACTCGACAGAACAATATAACTAGTACCGCCCACCCACCCTGTCTCCTTTTCAGTGATTGATTTTATCCGATAAGAATGAAATGAATGATCTTATACTAAATAGAAATGAAATTAGTCTTTATAATGAGAAGAGGGGAGGAGGGCTGGGCGGGGCTAGTAGTTGCTACGATAACACCGATTTTGGCAAATGACATACCCTCTAAGAAAATACAGGGAGGGTGGGCGGGGCTTGTATTGATAAGGTAAAACTGATTTTGGTACTTTTGACATTTTCGACCATTTTTCAACCAGAAGCCATTTTCGGCTTTTTTTCTTCTAAAATTCCTACCGTTTTTCCAAAATCGCCAATTGAAATATGTACATCTATTTTTAAAGCTCCGTCAAAATCCTTCAGTATAAAATTTTTATGTGACATACCCTCTAAAAAAAGAGAGGGTGGGTGGGCTGGGTTATTAGTTGAAGAGGTAAGACTGATTCTGGCATTTTTGACATTTTCAACCATTTTTCTATTTCTGAAAATTAGTTGAAGACATTTTCTTGAACATTTCGATATCCAGAAGTCATTTTCGGTTTCGTTTCTTCGGAAATTCCTACCGTTTTTCCAAAATCGCTAATTGAAATATGGCAATTTTTACAGTTTCGTCAGTTTCTCGCTATAAAGATTTTGTAGATAAAAAAGGAAATTATTATTATTTTTTGTTTCGCGAAATACAATTGTCTCAAGAACGTACTTTGTAGTTGTTTATATTTACAGAAATGTTTAAAATTTATTTATTTGAGACAATAGAGAAGTCAGGACAGGGCAGGTCAGGTCACGTTAGGTCAAGTCAGATCAGGTGCATGAAATAAGAAATAAATTTTATAGCAAATAGTATAACAAAAAAGTTAACGCTTTTTTTTTACTTTTTTCACATCCTAAATTCTATTATGTATTAGTTTCCACTCCTACTCAACAGACGAACATAATTAGCCCCGCCCACCCACCCTGTTTCCTTTTCAGTGATTGACGTTATACGATCTGAATGAAATGAACGATCTTATACTAAACAGAAATAAAATTAGTCGTTAGACTGAGAAGAGGGGGGTGGGCGGGGCTAGTAGTTGCTAAGATAAGACTGATTTTGGCAAATAACATAGCCTCGAAGAAAATAGAGGGTGGGTGGGCGGGGCTTGTATTGATAAGAGACGACTGATTTTGGCACTTTTGACATTTTCGACCATTTTTCTACTATTTCCGAAAATTAGTTGAAAAGATTTTCTTGTACATTTCGATATCCAGAAGTCATTTTCGGTTTCGTTTCTTCGGAAATTGCTACCGTTTTCCCAAAATCGCCAAGTGAAATATGTATAGCAATTTTTACAGTTGACACAAGTTAGCGAGACGGGGGCGGATGAATTTTGCAGTTAAGCTCCGCCCTCGATATTACAACAAATGAAAAATTTGTCACAATTGAGAAAAGGGTGGGTGGGTGGGGTTTAATTAATAATTGGTTTGTTTTTCTTACTATATAGTGTTCCTTCAACAACACGATATTCGAAACATAATTCCAACCTCAAATTCATCATTTGATAATTTAAGTATTATATGTCTTATTGAACGGAGATTCTGTACATACACATATATTGGGAAAAGAAAGTCAAAGAATAAGCTCCTCCCACCCGCCCCATCTAAATTGTGATTAATTTTTTTATTCGACGTGAGACGGGGGCGGAGCTTAAATGAAAAGTTCATAATTAGTGTCACGATCATTTAAAATTAACACAAGTGGTCCTCGAGATTGGGTCAAAATTATTTAAAATAGACACTGGTGGCCCGGGATTCCTTCATAATCTTCTGAAAAAGACACTCGGGACCCCTTATGTATATTAGGAAAAGAAGGATTAGCCCCACCCACCCGCCCCATTTAAATTATGATTAATTTTTTTATTCGACGTAAGACGGAGGGGCGGAGCTTAAATAAAAAGTTCGTAAGTGTCATAACAATAATTTAAAATAGACACTTGTGGCCCCTGAGATTCTTTTATAATCTTCTTAACATACACACTGGGGACACCCGAGATTCTTTAATACTTTTAAGATTCAAACAAA